TTTTGAATTACTTTCCACTTCTGAAATAGAAGAAAAGTATTTCTTCAGTCTCTGTAAATGGAGGCCTAAGGACATATAGGATCCAGAGTCAAAAGATTCAAGTTTTAGACTCTGCCTTGAACATTTTATCAAGATCCCTACATCTGAGATGCTAGCCTGGGTTGTATTCTTGCTGTCAAGGATTCACAAGACTGGCCCAAATTGAACATTTTTCCACTACCTGGCAAAGGATTAAAAAAAGCAGGAAAAATGTGTAAATGAAATGCCACTGCACATACATTTCTAATTTTGAATTTTTGACTGAGTGGACATAAGTCTTGTCTGTTCTAAGAGGAAATTAACCAAAAGACCATATCCCAAGTGTTACTACTAAAACCTGTGAGACATGTAAAGAGTAGAAGTGAGAGTAAAGAAGAAAATATACAAAACAACTATAACACAGAAATGACAGACATGTTGATTACAGGAGGAAATAGAAGAAGGGTGTGGTTAAGTCCAAATAAATGAAATGAATAGATGCTTGCCTTTGTATTTGTTTTTAATGAGAGGTGAGTTGCTTCCTTGAGCAGATCTAGAATGAAGACTGCATACAAACCAGGTAGAAAGAGAATGGTAGTTGCAGAGGGCACTGGGGACTGGCTGGCACAGTATCAGGTGATGAAAACACCTCAAAGAAAGGACTGAGGTGTTTTTGTGGAATGTCTGAAACTACACAGAAGATGCATCGCTTGACACTTCCCACCCTAGGGAAGGCAGAGCTGCACTTCTGTGTGGCTCCACACATAGGGAAGTCCCATGTGTGAGGAGTGGGGGTGCCACGGTGTCTTGGGGGTAATCTCCACATTAGCAGGTTACCATAGTGGACTGGAAGCAACGTACAAGAAGCAAGGTACTTGGAAGTGAATTTTGTGTGATTCATGTTGGCAGTCACAGAAGAGTGGGCTTTGGGAGCCAAGCCGGAGAAGAAAGAAGAAAAAGCTCTGGGTTTTCAAATCCCTAATGCGTCTTTTGAGTTGTATTTTCATAGGAAGCTAGAATTTTGTCTGAATTTGATAGGTGTTTCCTAATGTTTCAAATATTATTCATGAGAGATGCTCGTATTCATAATCTCCAAAGATCCTGAATAGAGCTAGGACCTTGCATTTAGTATATCCTTAATGCATAATCACTGACTAAGTGAGTCAACCATGTTCCCAAATGAAAAATGTGTCTTACATTAATTAAAATAGGAGTCAATAACGTGCAAGATATAGCCTATATTTCCTTTATTACTGCCATTTGGCAAATTGAGGACAAGAGCTCTAGCAATTCAAATCTCCCTCTGAGGAAGTTTAGTAACTATCAAGATAGATCTTGGCAGCTCACTCTTGGGGTCCCCAAGGCTCACTAAACATTTTAAGAGGACATCAGACATTTTCCTAGTGGCTGGTAAAATAACCCACTTCCAAGTGCGGGAAGAAGTGTTGTCTTGCCTGTTGCAACCAGCAAATTCTGGACAGAGGTTTAGACCTGAGGCTAAAGCCGTGAGGGGCAGGTAGCATTTCAGTCTGGCTCCTTTTACTTGGCTCGTTCTCTACTTGTCTATTCCAGAGGAGACGGAAAACTTTTTTGCTGCCTTGTGTACTAGGGAAGAATTAAAACTCAATGGCAATGGGAATGGGGAGGCTGGGAATAGGCTGGGGTCAGGGCTGTGAACTAAGTATGGGAGGTGACAGAGCAGGAGGATCAGCCAGGGGTCTGCCTGACCACTGTCCTACTCTGAGCAGTAGCCCCATGGCTGAAGCTTAGCTGATGGCAAAAGCATTTAAGCATATAACCTTGGAGATGACTGGCAACTCCACCTTTTGTGTAAGCCACTCACTTACTTGACAATGACAAGGGTCTTAGGAAAACAGGCTGCGGACTTTGACTATCAAAGGCACTATTCTGCCAACCCAGTGCTGCAGCTGATATACAAGGCCTCTAAGCTCTGGCATCTGCATGAACACATATTTCTAATTGTCCCCTTGATAGTACTAGCCATTAGACACGAGTGTACCTGCTTTGATCTCCCCCAACTCCAGACCACCAACTCATTCATTGTCTGCTCCAGAGTACATAAATGTGACTGTATCTGTAAAGTTATGTTTTCAGAATAGACTTCAAATTCTGCTCAAAAACTTTTTACACGTTCTTCTTGTTTTCATTCCCCATTGCATTTTTTCCCCAGAGACAGAAGATAACTTGGCCGCTCCCAACTGTGAAGCACAGTTTATGTGCATACATGGTGCATATGTTATCTTTAATAATCTGTGTAAACTATGTATTGTTATCTTTATTTTATTTTATTTCTTTTGAAATGGGGTCTTGTCCAGGCAGAAGTGCAATGAAGTGTGATCATTATGGTGTGCTACAGTCTCGAACTCCTGGGTTTCAGTGATCCTCCTGCCTCAGCCTCCTGAGTAGCTGGGATTCCAGGCTACCATACCTAGCTCATCCTTATGCGCTCTGGTAAAATGTGTTATAACTTATAAAGTGCTTCCATATATGTTGTAAATTAACTGTAATGATTATGTTCATTTTACAGATGGTAAAATTGAAATTTAGACGGGTTATGTGACCTATCCATTTTACATCATGGCGAAGTTGAGTTTGAAACTCGTGTCCTATTCTATACCCATGCTTATTCATAGTATAGTGAAAAGAAAATAGAAGCTTACAGATGTGAACTCTCCAAGTTTCTTTATGACCACCTTCAAACTTATCTTTGTTTCCTACCCTTTTTTGGGATGGTCTATCTCAGGAATAAGCTGATTCTATTCTGTGTTTCATCAAGCTCTCTCTTTTGTAGCAGAGTGACCTTATTTATTTTCATCTCTTTATATTTCAACTTGATGTAGATGTCTCTCAAATCTTTCTTTCAGTTCCAGTGGTTGTTCCAACCATTAAAGGGCATCTTTCCTTGATAATATACCTTTATATATAGACCATACATCACTTTATATACAGACCTCCCCACCCTGAGCTCTTTACAACTAACTCTAAGTCTACTGTTTTTCTGGAGTAATCCATGTGCTTTATGCCACCATACTTTTGCTTTTATTACTTGAAATGCGGTCTTTTTCCTTTACTTGTAGAAATTATATTCATTCTTCAAGAATCAGCTCAAGGGTTGAGAACAGTGACTCTCATCTGTAATTGCAGTACTTTGAGAGGCTGAGGCGAGAGGATTGCTTGAACCCTGGAGTTTGACATCAGCCTGAGCAACATAGCAAGACCTTGTCTCTAACAAAAAATAAAATAAAATATTATAAAAATTAAAAAAAGAATCAACTCAAGTGTTATACTTGTTATTGAATATTTCCCCAACTCTTCCAGGCAGATTTAATGCTATATTATCTGCATTCCCAAAGCACTTTGCTTAGTGGGATAACAGATCAATTATCACATGAAAAAATTATTTGTCTTCATCTCTGCCTCAACCTATAGGCTGCCAGCACAATGAAGACAAGAAGATAATTTTATTTATCACTACATCCTTTGATACAATACGCATGGCTCTTGGCTAAGGGTTTGTTGATGGAATAAAATAATAAATGAATGAGGGCTACTCAGTTACTACTTCAAATTCTCAGCATACTCCAAGGAGGGCATGGTTTGATTTTTTTTCCCTCCCCTACCTCAAATCTTTTCTATTATCCTGGGGATTTATTTTGCTTGCTTTGTGAAAATGTTGAGTGTTGAATGAAAACAAAATTGCCTGCTGCGTGATGTCATGGAAAAGAAAAGGGAATGATACATCATTTTGGAGGGAGAGAGGTAAAAACAAATATACTCTTGTCATTCAGCTGACCAGACTGGGCTTGGTGGCTCAAGCCTGTAATCCCAGCACTTTGGAAGGCTGAGGTGAGAGGATTGCCTGAGCCCACAGGTTTGAGAATAGCTTGGGCAACTTGGCAAGACCTCATTTCTACAATAAAGAAAAAAATTAGCCGGGCATGGCAGCACATGCTTGTAGTTCCGGCTACTTGGAAGGCTGAGGTGGAAGGACTGCCTGAGCCCAGCAGGTCAACACTGGGGTGGCTGTGAGCGTGCCACTGCACTCCACCCTGGGCGACAAAGTGTGACTCCAACTCAAAAAAAAAAGATAAGCATCCACAAATTAAAATTTTTGTTTATAAATTTTAAAGCAAGATAATAGAAGTTAATCCTCTTCTCTGGATAAATGCTTAGGTTTGCATATTACACAATAGTAAACTTCATCAGACTGGAATAGTGAATTTGGAAAGGTGAGGAGGAAGAGACAGCCTGAATTATTGAAAGCAATGTTGTTCTATTACTTTCCATACTATGATATGCCAATAAAGTCTGTCAAAGGAGACATCTACTTATAATATGTATACTTATTTCATGGCTGAATCCTTTTGCCTAAAGTTCACCTCTATGCTGTAGCCATGAAAACATCATATTTGTTTTACATAGGTTACAGGTGTCCTATTAGTTCACTCAGGAAATCCATTCCTTGCAGACAATTCAAAGACACATTTCAACTTTCTCTAGATGAAATTGTCAAGAACTGTGTATTAGAAATATACAAATTAATCAGGTTTATTGTATTACCATAAAAGAAGACATTTTGGAAAATAAAGAATATAATCCAATGTGCCAGGATGAGGGTTGTGTCAAATACTTTTAAAATAAAAATAGAAAAAAATAAGCTTTTTTTCCACATAAGATAAATATTAATTATTCATCAAGCTAGACATAACTGAAATATATCTTCAGAGCCTTTGTTTTCTTTGTCAGTTCCTTGAAGCAAGGATCATGGCTTACTCACTTTTCTCTCCACCCTCCAAGACTTCATACACTTCAACAATGCCACCTAGGCTGTGCTTTCTGGTGTTGGTCATTATGACCAAAACGGTGCTTAAAAGCAGCACTGTGAGGTTTTTAGATATTCTAGTTGTTGCTGGCTTATCTATAACTACCCAAGACTTAAATATTATAAGGAGGGTACTTACTGATTCTGGGTGCGGGCCTCAAGTAGTTTACTGGCCCCCATCCTGAAAAAGAAGAGGAAGAAAGTTCATATAGTACCATCACATTCATAGACATTTGTAAAGCTTTCTACACAAAGATGTCTTAAAGCATCTAACATTTTATTTGTAACAAGGAAAGTCATGGGAAGGGAGAAGGTCATGAAATAAAATATGTCATCCTCTGTGTTTCTGGGTTAATGAAGAGGTGACAGGCTTGATGTCATTTATTAGGAAACCTGGCACTACCTTCAAACTTTGTCAGAGAAGAACTTGAGCTTCGAGCCTGTGCCCTCTGTGGCAGGGAATGGAGTTCGGGGTGGGCAGTGCTGGACAATGATTGCAATTAGAAAGTTAATTTCCCTTGATTCTCAGTGTTCTATCCCATAACAGATCAATGTGTTAATATGCAATTATATTTCACTTAAAATCTCTGTGTAAAATTGAGTAATTAGTATAGATGTCTATGGGTGACATTATACTGGGATCGATATGCCATGTGTATTTCCTGGCATTGAGTATCAGTGGCCTACTTATTGGATGCCTGAGTTTGGGAAGCTTGGAAGAGTAAATGAACCAAAATCTAGGCTAAAAGAAGGAGTCTCTGAGGGATATTTAAATCATCCAGAACTAATGGCAGTTTATTTTGTAATGAAGAGCTGTAAGAAAGATATCTTGGGGTTTTCCTTGAACTTCCATCATGATTGTGATGACCAAGAAACGCCTCTTTCTGTCAGATGAAGTTTGGCCAAATGTAACATAGTATATTTCTTCTTGTTTAGTCATCTATGGGTAGAGGAGTGGCTCAGCTTACTTTAGAACAACACTAGGGAACTTCAGAGAATGAAATTATATGACTATCCAGTTTTGGCTTCTGGGGTTCCATAGCCAATTCTTCCTTTAAATAAAATGATAAAATATATAATATGTAATATATATTATATAATATATACCATGCAATAAAATAACATATAAAATATAATTATAATCAAATATATATTACATGCTATATTACATATAATCTGTATAATATACATATAGTTACATATTAATACATAGTATATTCTATATTATATGCATAGGAAGGGGAACCCTCAAAAAACAGAGTTATCTTTTGGAGGGCAGGCCTTTTGTAGTACACTCGGAATTTGTTCTTCTGGATCAAATAGCCAAACAAAGTTTTTATCTAGAAGTCTTGAGACAGTTGCATCATGATTTACAGAAGAAATGTCCAGAGTTGTGGTAAACAGGTGATTGGTTCTTCTACCATGACAGTGCAACTGCCCACACCACACTGGTGTTCAGCAGTTTTTGACCAAAAATGACATAACACTGGTGCCCCACTTTTCCTATTCTCCTAATCTCACCCTGAGCAACTTTTTTTTGTTTCCCTTGATAAAAAAAGTACTCAAAGGAAAATGTTTTGCTGAGGTGGAAGAGGTGAAAAAAAAAAAAAGACAGAAGTGTTAAAAGGCATCAAAATTGACAAGTTCAAAAAGTGTTTTGGGCAGTGGGAAAAGCATCTCAATAGGTGTATTGCATCAAACAGAGAGTACTTTGAAGATGATTGACGTTTCAACATGCAAGAATAAATACAAATTTTTAATAAATAATTCAGTTTTTTGGGCCCCCCTCTTTTATATGTAATGTTTTGCTCTCTGCATGGCTTTTTCAAAACTATCTCTTTCAATTTAGAGTCTATAATACTCAGTGATCTACCACAGAAACAAAGAACTGAGTATCACATGTTCTCACTCTTAAGTGGACCCTGAACATTTACCATAATACTATAAAAAAGGGATTGGCAGTAGTGTGATACTACCAGGGGTTGAGGGGGGCAAAACATCAGTAAGGGTACCTGATCTCAAACCAGGCAAAGTGGGGACCAAAGGGAAGCCCAAACCTTACAGGTATGATGACCACATATATACCTAATCCTGAATTGTAACCCACATCTTTAAAATAAAAAAAATTCCTTTCTAAACAGGTTGATTAAAACTTGCACAAGTACTCAAGGATGGTGTGGCTTAAACAATGGTAGGATTAATTCTCTGACCTGTTATCCTGCTTCATTTAAATATTTCCTTTCAGTAAGCTCTTTTAATTTATAACATTGTGAATTTATAATATTGCTTTTGTAACCCAATTGTAATTGAGACCAAAATCTTATTGGTCCTTGTCTTCTTAATCAGTCTTTTAGCAAATTTCGTTTATACCAAAATATACCAGTTTATACTTGTATCCATGAAATGTTATTCTATTTTTAGAATGATTTAAAACATATATCCAAGGTCATTTTGAATTGTACTGTTATGAGTTTCCTACGTATAAGGTATTGGCAGTTGTACTTGATTTAGTAATATCTGCCTTTTGGATGAAGGTGCTTATAAGTCATTTATGTAGCTCATCAATAAGTTACAGGTTCTTCAATACAACTGATCCTCATGGGTTTGAAGTTGATATGTAATCCACTGCTCCAACCCACTTTATTGCAATTGCTACTCTATATTTACTTGTTCACCCATGTAACAGTAGTATGATTAAGGTCACACTTTCATGGGTTAGTGATAGAAATACTGTTTAAGTTAGAACTCAGAATCTTCCTTCATACAAAATTGATTTTATCCAGCATATTATCATTATTTATATAGTATGTCAGTTAATCATGGAAGGATATTAAATTAGTGTGGATAAAAATACCTATTCAAAAAGTCAAGTGCACCTGCTTTTTTATCTCATGATATTCAGATAAATTGCTTATTGATTATATGAGAAATTATTTTCATCAGGTACTGCTTTTAAGTTATTTATCTTACAATGATAAAGTCATTTTCTTAACTGTTGACACAATAGTTTCTTTCCTCAATCTCCATGATGGCTCAAATATAAAGCCTGTGCAAAGTCATCTGCCAATTTCTTAAGAGTATCTGGAAAACTGACGTTAGGATATTATACTCTTAAGAGTATCTGGAAAACTGACGTTAGGATATTATACTCAGATACTGGAAACTTTTTCCTGGTATAGTTTGTCTTCCCACACACCAAAGACTGAAGTGTACTAGTCAGTCAAATGCATGTCTCTCACATTATATAGTAAGCTTGTTGAACGCAGGGACTATTCAGTCTTACTCCTTTTTTTAACTTCCCTAAACCTAATTTAGTGTCATGCATAAATATATATTTAATTAAATTAAATTTTTTGAAAGATATTTTTAAGAATCTGACAAAATATAGGAAAGTAAATACAATTTTTTTTTTTTAGTTGGAGTCTCATTCTGTCACCCAGACTGGAGTGCAGTGGCCGCTCCCGGCCACCGCAGCCTTGACCTGCTGGGTTCCAGTGATCCTTCTGCCTCAGCCTTCCAAGTAGCTGGAACTACAGGTGCACGCTACCACGCCCGGCTAATTTTTTATTTATTGTAGAGATAAGGTCTCGAGTAAATACAATTTATTTCTGATGTTATGAATTGTCTCTTAATGAAAAGTATCCTCTCTCACCTCCTAATACTAGTAATAGAAAATATAGCTGTTTAAATGCTTTGGCTATATCTTCTAAATCATTATTATTCCTACATATATATTTGTGTAATAATACCTAGGATGTTGAGCTAAGTTCATATAATCAATATAGACTGACTCACTAGCTACATGATCATATATTAATTATAAATTTTCTCCCATGATCATCTGTGAAAATAACTTTAAATGTCAGCAATGGTGCTTGCTTCACAAACAGAAATTAATTGGGTTTGGTCAGAGCCACTAAAATTAGTGAGCGTTTAAACCTCATATCCAGTATATCTGTTATTATATTGTTTTTATAAGATTGAATACAGAATTAAGACTTAATTTAGTGGCATAGACAATCTAATGAAAAGGGTCTTTCCCCCTACATCCCATGACTTAATTCTGAGTCATTTTTGCTTTCTGTAATGAAGCACATTTCACCTGTTGAAACAGCATTGCTGGGCACAGTGGCTCATGCCTGTAATCCCAGCACTTTGGGAGGCAGAGGTGAGAAGATAGCCTGAGTCTAGGGATTTGAGACCAGCTTGGGCAAAATTGGCGAGACCTCATCTCTACAATAAAACAAAAAATTATGGTAGTGGTAGTGTGTGCCTATAGTTCCAGTTACTTGGAAGGCTGAGGTGGAAGGATCACCTGAGCCCAGCAGGTCGAGTCTGCGGTGGCCATGAGTGTGCCACTGCATTCCAACCTGGGTGACAGAGTCAAACTCCTACAAAAAAAAAAAAAAGAAAGAAAAAGAAAGAAGGAAAGAAAGAAAGAAAGAAAGAAAGAAAGAAAGAAAGAAAGAAACAGTATAAATACCATAATAAGTGAATTGGTCTAGAGCTTTGGTAGAAAGTCAGTTTTTAAAAAATGAGCATTTCACTGATTCTTCACCCAAGGGTTGGAGAGCATCATGTAGCATGAAGCACACTGAGCCAGGATGAGTTTGCATTCAAGTGAGAGAACACAAACATGACTGTAGTGTACTCTTCTCAAATAACTCAAAGTGATTATTCTTTAATAATTAAGTTGAAAACTTAATTAAGTTGTTTATAATCATCTTTATCTAACAAAGATAAGAAAAGGTTAGACAGCTTCCTAAGGTTGTGTGACAATTTGTTGAAAAATTGAAGTAAGTTTATATTTGAGTTACCAAGGCCTTATTCTCAATAATGAATCAGTTTTTTTCCCCAGTTAAACCTTGCAGATATGTGATTGTCAATGTCTTCTTAATTTTACACACAGATATTTGGATGCAAAAAACAAAACAAAACAAAAAAATCACAGTGAAGTCTAGGTTCTTTGGTTAATTGGATGCAAAAAAAAAAAAAAAATCATAGCAAAGTTTAGGTCCTTTGGTTGCTGGATTTAAAAGTTTATCCCAACATTTTCTTTTGAAATATTGATTTGGTTTAACCTTATCTTTTTTTCTCTTTTCTTTTAAAATTGCTTGGATGCACAATTATTAAATCAATAATAACTACAATAACAGCTAACACTT